CAGAGGAGTGCGGCAAGGACTAGGGAGCCCATAGGAGCACGCCGGAGCCGTCGTTGCGCGCTCCACCACCTGTGAGTCACCGGAGAAGAACAGAGGATCCAGACTGCTCCCCCACTTGGAGTTCGTGCACTAGGTGCACCATGCACCCCACGCGCCTACGCCTGTGTACACGCGAACCACCATAGACCAAGGGAGGTCCAGGGTGCACCAGGTCTCTGGTCCACTGTGCACCGGCCCTCGTGGACGCAGCCTGCATCGGACCTAGCCATGCCACGTGGCCACACCAGAAGCCGACATATGTCAGGTCCAACCCAGCCCAGACTAGCCCATAACCCGGCCCACTGGGCCCAGTCAACATTGGCCGTTGACCGTTGACCTGGCCTCACCTGCCAGTCACTGTTAGCCATAGACCCCGCCTGTCAGTGATTGTGTACACTCTAACCGGTCAGAGCCAGCCACGTGTCACCCCTAGAATAAATTTGTTCTTTTTCTTTTTTAGAAATAGATTAAACATTAGAAAAATCATAATAAATCCATCCGACCTTAGAAAAATACGAAACCAGTTCCTAAATTTTCCTAAAAATGAGCTCTACATCGTAGGGCCATGTTTGAGTGCATTTTGATCCTTTGGTTTTCTATTGCTCCGTTATGGACATCTATAGGAGTCACTTATCGTGGCTATGTGTCTTGTATAACAGCCCTGGAGGAGCAGGACCTTGAGGAGGAGGACTACGACTACACGGAGGAGTTGGGAGGCGACTAGTCTACAGGTGCCACGTCCCACCCAACCTTGTAGAATTCTATTAGACATACAATAATGTAGTTGCTAGTGCTTTACTTTATGCAATGATTTGTGATAGGTTGCTTGGTAGAATTGCTTGAAGCCATTATCTTGACACAGCTTTTACCTCTGCACACCCGTTGTTAGGATAGACGCTCGCTTACTACTTGCTACTTACTTCTACTATGCATTATATCTACGATGTGATGCTTCGTGGAGGATTGTTTATGAGTGGCTAAGGCACTTGGTGCCGATAATGTGATTATAACTTATGGAGATCTTGGCGTGTGTCTTGGGTGTGTGGTGAGGTTCGAGTTGACCAAATAGGATTCTATGACAAGCCGTTGGGGCAAGTCTTGTTAGAGTGTGACCTGAGCGCTCATTGATAGATGTACATGTGGCGGGTACTGGTTAGTGGTATGGATTCCAGGGAGGAGTGTCTTCATGGGGCGAATCCCCAGAATAGTGGTGCTATTGAAGCATGAGGCGTTGAGCCTGAGTGAAGATGTCTTGTTCGGTCACCCTAAGGACTTATATGTTCTAGGAACCGGTTCATAGGAACCTACATGCCACTCGCTGCTATGGGTTGAGGAGACGGTTGTGGACTAACCTGGGCAATGCCACTACTAGTAGGTTGTAGTTGATAGTGTGGGAGGTCAGGATGTTGTTGACCCGAACCTCTCTAGGCGCGTGATACACTCATGTGGCACGGTATTGCGTTTCACAGTATCAGCACGCCGGTGGACTTTAGGGAGCCTCAGGGCTGAGTAGCAGGGTGGTATCGTTCCAGTTTGGAAAGCAACACGGAATTAGCCTAGGCGGGGCACTGCCGATGATGGTGATCTGGTGGACTTAGTGTAAACCTAAGTTATGGTTGATCAATCGATACATAGTCACTCTTTTATGGCTATAGAACTTTCCTATGTTACTGCTTCACTTGACTAGAGAGATGAGCCCTTTCTTCTTCTCCCTGGGTTATTGTGTGGATCCGGCGTGAGCCATTGAGGCAAGGCACGAGCGGGAGTCGTCCTTGTCGCCTAGAGAGTGAGAGTGTCGTGAGATGTGTGTGACGGGATGGGTGAATATCTAGATGAGATGGGTTAAAACTTGTGAATTATTTATAAAATATTGATGAACTACACATAGGAAAACTACAGCCACAAGTAAGTTCTTTTGCTCTACCCTTGCATTCCACTTACCACAAAGCAACGCAAAGCATAGGGTGGGAGCCAGTGGCCAGTACAAATCGTGCTGAAAGTTATTTGGCAAGTGTTGAGTACGATGACCAGCCTGATGGAGAGGAGGATTAGAGGTGTTTGTCCTACGCTCGAGTTTGCTAAAGAAGAAGTCGCTTCAGCACTTTAGATGTGACGCCTACTCTGATGCTGTTATGGATGCTATGTGAACTCTGATGATTCCACCAAGGGGCAATGTAATTAATGTTAAACCCCTCTATTTGTACTTCTAAGACAGGTATTCGATGTATGAACTTGTGATATTAGCTGTTGACTGATAATGTGATGGAGTGATCTTCTGGTACTATCACATTATGATTCGAATATGTGCATTTCCCTTCGAGGAAATCGTGGATCGCTACAAGTGTGCCTATGAAGATTCCCACACCACATCCAGCTGATGGTGTACAAGTTTCTCCTGTCTCACATATGAAAGAAACTGTAACATGACTGCATCGAAAATTCACTACAGTGTCTAGTAAAACAATATGTGGTTGTAAGGGCATCTCCAGCTCCCGTATCCCAATCCAACCACCATATTTAGGGGAGATGGCTCAAAAATGTTGCTCCAGCAGCTCCCCGATCCCATCCCCGTTAATTGGCGATCACCAAAAATCAGTCCAACTACCCCAAATAGAGGGGAGATGCAACTTCTCCAACAGCGCACCCACATCCAACTACCGTGCTTTTCTTCCCACGCTCTCTCGGAAGTTGCCTCTCCGACGAGCTCAGGAGGCTGGCAATTGATGAGAGAAGGGCTGGGGAGGGGAGGTGGGGCTCACGCATGGTGGAGGAGACGCCGGCGCGGCACGAGCCGTGGACGAGGCGCGGCTCACGGCGGGGAAGAGGAGGCCAGCACGGCTCCGCGTCGCGAGGGGCGGCCATGGAGGCATCCCAACTGTAGCTCGACGAAGAGGCACCCGCATTCCAACTGCAGCTCGACGAAGAGGCGGCCAGCATGGCTTCGCGTCGCGAGGGGTGGCCACGGAGGCACGGGAGCCGTTGATGCCAACACCGACGGGAGCATGTCCTCGTTGGAATGGAAGCCGCCACTGCCCTCGCCCCTGGGGGTGACCGCCCGTAGCAGCCGCCTAGCACCGAGAGCCGCTGCCAGGGAGTTCCCGATCTAGATCTACCGAAGAAGAGAATGAAGAAGGGTAATAAAGAGAAAGAAAAATAAAAAATGAATTGGCACACTTACATGCGTGCTCCACACGTCAGACCATGTATGGGGATAGGATATTGGTGATTTGTTGGAGCTTGTCTCCTAATATTTCAAAAAAACGGTATTGGTGATCACCAATCTATTCTATTGGGGATGAATTTTTGGTGAGCTGCTGGAGATGCTCTAAAGATACTTTGCCTAGTTATTTGCAGTTTAGCTGCTGATCTAAATGCTTAATACAGAACTACAAAATAAGCAGTACAAAGGCCCTACAAATAAGGCCGGCCAAAATCTTCTTTTGGTAAGCTCTGTCCAAAGCTAATTTTCACCCCTCGTATGCATCATTTTGAGAAATTGGCTTGCACAAACTAAAAATTTCTATGTAGAAGAATCAAAAAAAGTTTACCTAAAAACCTTTCTACTTAATCAGCTCTTTAAGCCTATCAGTTACAGAGGCGTCTGACCTCCTCCATAAAGGTATCCAATACTCCTAGTACGCAATCACCCCTGCTTCATTATTGTTGGGAATTCAACCTCGGATAACGTAGTCCCCTAAATAATCGCATCTTGAATGGCTTCGAATACAAACAATCCTGTTTTACTTTCAGGATGGCTTCGATGCGAAGTCAAGAAGTATGGAGTCTTCCAAAATTGGTCCTAAAGATGACACCCGAGCAACGGCGAAGACAACAAGAACGACACATATTCTAAGACAACCAGAGCACAAGGTCGAAGATGGTTGATCACCTTCGGCCGATAGCGAAGATCAAGCGAAGCCCATGAAGGCTCAAATGGCGAAGACTCCATCAGCGAAGACCCTCACCTTGAATGAACCCAGTCGTCGTTGTGACTGCTTCGATGGATTCAGTTGAGTCTATAAAATGACCGGAATGCCCTTGTCTGGGTCAAAGAGGGAATTCATATGTAACTCAAAAGCTTGGGGTAAGAAGGGCAATTTAGTAAAGGTGTTGAAGACCCCCTTTCATATAAATACCCCTAGTAGTGTACAGTACCAGGCATGAAAACTTTATGCTATACAGTTTATTATAGATGAATATCAATGCTTGATGTTTGCGTATCTTTGTTCCCAACATTTGGCGTCCACCGTTTGTGTGAGCTCGAAAGCTTCACGACCATAAGGCTAAGATGGCACGTCCAACCAAGAAATCACAGGCAGATAAAGACAACGAAGACGAAAATAATGGCGATGGAATTAGAACAGATACTCAAACAGCGCAAGGACTCTCAGATTCAAACAACTCCGGCAAACAAAACGAAGATCAAGACTTAGAGCAGAGGTTACAAGAGTTACAAGAACAACACAAAGCCAAGCACAAAGAACTAGAAGAATTTAAAGCCAAGGCAAGAAAGAAATCAATCAGGCAAAGAATAGAATTGAAGAAGCCGAAGCTTCACTTCGCCATGTTAACGAAGAACTTCGCAGCGCCAACCAGAACGTGATACAGTACACCTTGAGTCCTTGACGACCCAGTTTCATCAAAGAAAGATTCGTACGAGAGAAGTTACCCAAAAGGTTTCATTTTTTAAGCAATAATGAATTCCTTTTTTTCAGTCTTAAAGATTAATAGACAAACAAACACACACACACGGACATATATCCTCACACACACTCACAAATATGACGCCTACAAGAGGCTGGCGATGAAGTAACCACAGTCCGTTTCCACGGAAAGAATAGATATACACCTCAGAATAAAATCCATGCAGTGAGCACTCGTGGGGATGAAATTTAGGCTAGAGACCAGGTACGGTGGACAGGCACAAAGAAAATAACCAACTGTGCTTATGGCTGAACGGTTTAATTAACTATTGGGATGAAAACCCGTGTAAGTGCCTTATATAGTATGGTCCCTATTCCCCCAATGTGTGCTTCAATGCCCCAGTTGTTCTGGAACTCGAAGAAGGTTTGACCGTCTGGTCGCTGCCCATAGCCAGTAATAGCGACTGCATGGTACACAAATGTGCCGTCGTCTCTAATAATCCGCATATTTGGGTTATTGATACTGCCGTAAATGTGTCCGTTTGAACTGCGGAAGTCTGTGGCAAGAACAAATTCTCCGATCACCGGGCCGTTCATTTTGATCTCATTGTGCAGTAGTCTCTCATTTGCCTCGTGTTCTCCCTGGACAACCATAGTTCTGTAGCCTGTGATTTTACGATGCCTTGCCAAGCCCTGGGTGCGCAAAAAGAGAAACGTATATATTACATATGAAATATCCGTATTATGTTGTTACAAAATATAATGCCGCCTTAGATTGGAAGGTAGGTAACAATATCCTCACGCGGTCACGGCTTCGTATGTTGTTTATTCGAATAACGTCTATTTACTTTTTAAAAAATTATAGTGATCATCTTAATATTAGTTTTATTGGAGGCTTCCAACAGGTCTCTCATAGATCCTCATGATACACGTTAAGAGAAAAGATAAATCCTAAAACTTCTTACCATATTTAAAACATCTATCCTTTAATTTGGTATAGACTATTATTGTTGCTAATGACATATTTTGGATCTTTCCTGTTTTCTAAACATTATTCACCTCTACCATTATAAAGCATGAAGTAACCCCACATACTTGAACTTAAATTACCTACGCTATTATAAAATATAATTTAAAATAACCCTCAAAATTAGCATCTAAATTACTTACATCTACCATACAAAATAAAATACAAAGTAACTCATAAATTTGCTTTATAAATTGACAGCATGGAAGATAATACAAAATAACCCCTTTGATTTGTATCTAAATCATCCACCCCTACAATTACAAAAAAGTAAAATAAAATATACTTCAAATTATGTTAAATACTAATATAAACTATTGTTAGCAACTCTACTAGATTGGTTCACAGATAACTTGATTCAGGGAATAAGGTGCTAGGAGATAGGTATAGAAGGATCTAGAAGGAACTGGAGATAGGAATTCGGGTACAAGAGAGATAGAGAGAGTTGGGAAGAAGAACAATTACATAAATGCGGGTTTCAACTAAATGCATATAGAAGAACCACATAAATGTGATGCAAATAATGACAACATATATCTCAATGTTATTAACCACAGGTTCTCAACATAGCGTCCATAACATAATCACAATATGCCTTAGAAAAAACATGATAAATCCAAGATATTTTTAAAATAATCAGAATTTTCTAGTCATTAATTTGGTGGGTAACCATCATAGAGAATAACTGCTATTGGATTTGTTTAGTTTTCTTAAAATGTACTCAATTATGATATTATAAAAAGGCATAAAACCATTAAATCTACATCTAAATTACCAGCATCTACCATTATAGAAGATAATTTATGTAATCACTAAATTTGCATGTAAATTACCTTCCTATGTCCTTATGAGGAAAGTATAAAGTAACCCTTCACTTAGCATCCAGATAATCCATATCTACCTTTATAAAGCATAAACTAAAATTTACCTATAATCCATTTAGCGATATAATAAAACATCAACAAAAAATTATAGTATATACTTTATAAACTACTAGATACACCGCTAATGTTGAATTCACTGTAAATATAAAAGCTATGTGTCATCATGTATACCAAGTATGCAAACACACATTAGTACAAAATATATACTTCTGTAGTTTACCAATAGTGAAAAAATTTGTAAACAAACCACATACAAATGCAGCGACACCGATAATTCAAATTATAGTAAAACTCTATTAAAAAAAGATTTTGTAACTTGTTAATTTTGATAAACTTGTATATTAGGGTGATACATTATGATATATCAATATTTATAGTTTGATTGTAGGTAGTTTATTCTTCATGAAAAAACAATATTACTACTCACATAATTATTTGATAAAGAAAAATTTAGGATCTTGAGTGACATGGTGGACATTGAAACCACTGCTTTTGTGCTACTACAATAACTACGACTGTAGTTTAAGACCTAGAATCCATTTATCAATATAAAAGGAAAATTTTAATAAAAGATACAACAAGCTCTAGAGTTTGAATTTAACACGCAGATAAAAATATTAAAACAACTAATAAGATCAAAACTTGAAACACCGGCGCATTTTGCCCATGGTTTCAGTTAAAAAACTCAAAAGTTGAAGCTAAAATATGTATATTCATGATTTCGCAAAAAGGATGCAACAAGGGCTGATATAGTTTAAGCTAAGATTTTAAATACGTGTTAAATTGCACAGAGGGGCAATTAAAAGGATGAATATACATATAAAGTTATTAGTAGTAACACGGTGTATCTAAATGGGTATATTTTACTAGGAAATGATTATAGAAATAGTAAAAATAATCAACTGGGATTAGTTGTACTATACTAGTCACCAAACTCTTAATACTTATGCATGGGTAGATAGGCAAGTTATTGTTAGTCCTACAAATGACATCCTGAAGTACCTTTTCACAAGAAAAAAAATAGCTTAACAATGTTCCACCATTCATATAAAAATTGTAATAAAAACTTAACTCTCAACAAATAATAATCTTATGGAGTTTAATTTGGTGGCCATAGCATGAACCATAAATAGTTGCCATAGTATGAACCATAACTAGATGTCACATTATAGACAATTTAGTGCAAGTTTAACTATGTACCTGATCAACGTTTGGGAATCGCAGGTCCACGAGACCGACTGGTATTCCTATATAAATGACAGCACGAAGAACCATTTGTATGTCGGCACCATGCGCTCCCAGGATTCCTAGCGCCGACATATCGCACGCAAACTGGACAGAATCAGGCAATGCGTGGGAGAATGTTCTCCCATCTCTCATGTCTGCGATCTTGAACCTCGCTTCCAGTGCATCTGCAACGGCTTGGATTGCGCATGTTCCTTCGGCACCAATAAGAGCACAGTCAAATGACATGCAGTGAGGCGCAAAAAAAAATGACATGCAGTGATGTACATCAGTGGTTTACGAGCACTAACTTTAATCGGTGTACTGACCTTTTTGTTTCAGTAGTTTTATCAAACAATTAGGTGCACGTGGATCGTTTACAGTTATTCTACATGATCTGTTCCTTTTTATTTATGATTTATTAATTGCATCATTGATTATATATTATTTATAAAGCACAACTTTCGTTTGCATTAAATTTCGTTCTGGCTCATGGTATGAACCAGTGCACCAACTACAAGATTCCTCTTCTCTGACGATGGTCTGTAAATTGCAACAAAAGCGCCATTCAGCCTCAGTTTACAAGTTACAACATGCATGTAGCTTGCACGAATGTCACAACCCAAAATTTCTAATTTTGGGTTGTGCATAAAAAACACTAATTAAAATAAATGTTTTGATATTTGGATAAAATTTACCAATCTTAGTTTGAACTAGCGTAAATTTAGTTATAGGAAAAATGTGAATTTTCAAGCTTTTCCAAATTAATTTGACGAGCTATTGCTTGATGTGATGCTTGGTTGTTGATTTATTTCATGTTGTGAGAAAAGATTTTTAAAATGCGTTTAGTAAGTCGATCTTCTTTCTCCAGCAATTCTTAGTCTTTCTCACGGATCAAATTCCTTGTTTTCCAACTTAATATTTGCTTGAGAAGTATCCTAAAATCTTTTCCATGAAATCCAAATCACTCCTTTCTGCTCACTATTCATCAACCTATCTCCATGGATACCTCGGGAATTTCTTTGGCTTTTTTCGGAACTTGTTTGTGAGCATAATCTAATTTTTAAATGCTCCAAAATATCTTTTCATGAGCTCCAAATACTTTATTTGGGTTCGTCTTATTCTAAAATATCTCTGAGAAATTTCCCTGAATTTTCGGAGTCTTCGGAGTATTTTTCGTGGCTTAAAATTCAATTCTGGACTTTTCTAGAATTATTTTATCCATGAAATTAATTAATTCTGAAAATAATAAAATATCTCAGATTTCCTCGGGCCCAAAGGCCCATGTCTTTATTTACTAATGGGCTTTAATAATTAATTAGGCCTATCAGTAAAGGTGGAGGGTGCAACGTCAATTAGTACCATAGCTAGTCGATGTAGATGTGGGGAGTTCTCCGCCCTATATATATGTACCAACCCCTTGAGCTAAACACACCAAAACTACCGTATGAGGAGCCCCTAGTTTGAGAAATTCCTCGTGTAGTAAATAATTTTCTTTCTTCTTGTCTTCGTCTCCTTCGGCTAGGTTTTCCGGCCACCGTGATCGTCTCTGGCGAAAGTCAGCCACCCTAAAAGGTTCGTCTCATAGTTCTCTAGGCCGTAGGACCCTTCTATCAATCCGTCACCACATATGACTAAAATCCCTTTGTTTTCCTTTTGCGGCGCGGGAGTTTCGGTGTCCTTCGTCTTCCAGCAGCTTGACCACGCCGTCTCGCCCGCGTGGTCAGCACCGCCGCCATCACATGGCTGTGTACGGCCGTTCGGCAAGCAGCCTCAGCTGGCCAGCAAGCTCCTTCGAGCTGCCCTGTTGCCGTGGGCGTGCTCTGCAGCCGTGACCTGTCTAAGGCCGAGCCAGCAATCCCATGTGGGCCAGAGCTCCTCTGCGACAGTGCCCGGCCCCTGCCCCAAGGTCAAGCCGCCCCTGCTGTCCTGCATCAGCCGGAGCTCCATGGATGTTCATGATCTGTACGTACAGGTACAAGATAGAAGCTGCTATTTACGGTTTTGTCACCCGACGGGATTAGCAATAGTTTAATCGTTTTAACTCCGTTTTGCCTGGTTCAAGTTGTGTTAGATTTAGGTCGATATGCTTTACGCAATAGTGTTAATACTTTTCAAATCACTTGTTTTTTTTCATATAAAGTAAATATTAAATTGACTAATGTGCATGCAACTAGTTTTCTAATTTATAATTTAAAAGCCATGTATGTATATGCTATGGTGTTTCATAAACTAATACTAATATGACTAATCACAAACATTAATATACTTTTAAATTATAAATTTTCTTAGTTTAACAAGACGTCAGATACAGTTCTATTAGAGGTTCTCACGTGCTCCTTTATTTTGAAAAGTTAAAGTTTATTTTAGTTAAATAATACATACTAGTGTATAAATTAAAATATGATTAATTGAAACATATCACATATAATAGATAGATGTAGATGATCTTAGATATTTATTTCTTTTGCAAAGTAAATTTAAATTACTTTAATATATTTTTCCATATAGTTAAATATATTAGATTAAATTATATGTATGCAACTAGTTTTTATAACTAAAATCAATATATAGGCTTTACACTTAGGTATTTTGTACATAAATATTAATATAGTTAATTGCTAATAAAAATATGTTTTTAATTGTAAATTTTCTTAGCTCCAACATGCATCGCACGTAAACCCAATAGATGTTCTCACGTGCTCTTTTATCTTTGCAAATTTATAGTTTGAATGGCATCATTTTTATAAATAAAACATGACTAGGTTCAACTCGGCTTTTGAATTAAAACATGCTTTGTTAAAACTGAACTAATATCTTTCTTATGGTTTTGCTTAATTAAAATAAATCAAGCATGTAGGCTTTTCTTTTCTTTTATAAATAATATAAAACTCACGATTTTATGGTTTCTTTTTAACCATAGTTTGTCTATCGGCGTTTCTTACGTTCTCTCGGTCGTAGTAACGAGTTCTCGTTTAGTACGATGTTTTCTCCTGTGTAGTTTGTGTTGTTCTTAGTCTACTTTGTTTCCTTGTAAGTTTGTTGGTGTGCTTTGATCCGCGAGTAGAACCAGAATTGTTTGTAAGCGCCGATGATCAGAAGCTGAGTACCGAAGCTACAGAAGTTGCAGAATGGAAGATAGAGTGAGGCTTCTGAAGCAAGTTGCTTTGGGTGTAAAGCAAGACTAAGGCAAGTATAGCTAAGGACCTTCCTTGTTGTCCTATCCATGATGCTCACTAAAATACATATGCATGTGTCTTCCTTGCTATCTATGGTAGGATTTCCTAGATTTTGAATACTTAATTACCTTGTCACCTTGGGAGGTTTGCATTGGGTAGTTCTATTGCTAGTGCAACAATCATGATCTTGAAACTTGATTAATGAATATGCTATAAACATAAACAAGATGACTTTTTAGCAACATAAGGTCTTGTCTTGTAACTGATTATCCGGGATTTAACGTACAGCTGTGAGAGCTATATGGCTCTGGCTCTAGTCGCTTGAGAAACCCTCTTCTAGCTGGTTAGAGGTCTACGAATTGGGTATAGGACAGCCTCTGTCCTATTGAGCCTAGCTTTGGAAGCGGCCCTTTTACTTTATTTTTGGAAGGGGGTTCCTATATCTGATGACCCTGCGGCCCTGGCCGGTTAGACGAGCTCTTGGGTGGCTTTATATGGTTCTCGGTGTTTTGGGATTGATCCACCCACTCATTTGGGAAACATGATTCACAGTGAAAGTGTACACCTCTGCGTAGAGTTAACAAACTGGTATACTAGCCGTGCTCACGGATACGAGCGACCTTGGAACACTTACATTAAGGGATAATGACTTTTACTGTTAAGATGATCATTTATGTTAATTGTTTAAGATATTGATTATTCATGTTCATTGATCATGTGTTATGGGATTATTGCTACCTTGATGTTAATGAATTCTAAACTTGGAGATTACTTAAATGCTAACCGCAGTAAACCAGCGTCAGCTTTTTGAGCCTCATAAACCCCTGGCTATATTAGTTGAGTTCGACATGGACTCACTCTTGCTATTTCCCCACCTCAGGAAGAAATTAGGCATGTGATCAACCAGTCAGTTGGATCCAGTGGAGTGAAGTCTGCACCCGGAGATCAGAGTTGTCTATCCGTTGATTGCTTTCTAAGGTTATCTCTTTTGCTAAGTTCGCTATATATTAAGCATTATGAATTGATACTGCCCCTTCATTTGTAGCTATATGTGAAATTTGATTTCCAGAGCTCACATATGGTGTGCATTCGGCTTTGTCCTTGAAACCGGGTGTTACAACGAAATAAGCTACGGATTTGTGAAATCTATTGTCAAAGTTCTTTAATGTCAAAGAAAATTTAGATTTTTCAAATCCAAAAACAAAGCAATTTTTTAAACAACGACCCACATAAGCATGCATGCTCATCAAGCTGCAGAAGATAAATTGGAAGACCAAATAATACATAAATTTTCATGATATTAACAGGAACAACTTAGTTTGAAGCATGATTCTAATATAGAAAAAAGTTCTGAAAACACCCAATATCCTAAATAGTATATATACAAATTCATTTAGACTGACCTTCGACGTTTGGTATTACAGGCTGATTTGAGACAAGCAACCAACCGCGCCTCCCTGCCCACGATGAGCGCCACTCCATTGAGGAACTTTCTGGGTTGTACTAGTTGCTCCTGTTTTATAGAGATAGATAGGTGCATGGTGAGAGACAGACAGAGAGAGCGCTTCTCGGACCTTATAGTCTATTACCAATCCAAGTTGTAAAATCTTTATTAGCTTTGAAATCGTAACTTTCAGTACTATAAGTTTATGCAAATTATGTTTTATTATTTCTTAATAAGAAGTTGACCACATGTTTTGTCCTTTACATTCTATTGTCCAAATTATTTTAAATTAAGTAACTTCTTAATAGCGATGCTAGACATCATAGTTTGGTGGTAAGAATTGCTTAATATTTTTAGCAAAAGAAGTAAATTAATTGCATTGTTTGTGGAGATTTAATGACATTATGGATGTCTTACTTGTTCAGATTTAATGATGATGTTACCAACTACATTGAAATTTTATTTGTAGGACGCTTTGATGAAAGTTAGAGAGCTTTATTGTATGTGTGTTACACACACACACACACACACACACAAGAAAAAATAAACTATGTATGTTGTACCAAGGTTTTGCACCTCCTAACCACCAAAAAAAATTATGTTATAATTAACAACAAACCGCGTGA